TGTACGACTGCTTGAAACAAAAGAAGAAGGACATCGGTACGTGGCACTCTGTTTTTTAGGCACGCACAGAAGAACAGACCGACGCCTAGGCCGCCTTTTGAGATATTGAGAGCGTGGATAAGAAGCCATCATATAGAGTACGGTGAATGTTTTTGGAAAGCAGCAGAATTCTCACCGACACCTGGGCATCATCCAAGCGAGTGGCATTTTGTTATGTTCATAAGGATGGCGAAATAAGGGAGGACGATAATTGAAGCAGAAGAGCACAGAGAATAGACTTTATATAGACGTGGACAGAGTCAGGCTAGCACAAGCACGTGAAAAAGTGGCCCAACAAACAGCCTCTTAGCTAGCGATGATGACGAAGGTCACCAAACAGAGATAAATATGACACCCATATGAGAAAGCCGAGGCCCGGCACTAGATACGAGATATATCCCCGACCCAGTAATGTTATGCAGCCAGTCTTTCGCTACGCCCAAACACCGCGGAAATGCAACTTTGCTGTACATATACACACATATCTTAGCCGAGCCGGTCGCTCGCGCGGTTCAATATATCCGCCGTCTTCTTGATGGCTTTGGATGCAGCATCCCAGTCTTTCTTCTCGATTGCTTCACGTGCGAAAGGGAAGACGCTGGCTTCGAGGCCGTTGTTGAGGTCGGGGGCGAATACGACGTGTTTGTATTGATCGCGGTTGGGCAACTGTCTGTGTGTTAGTTACTGATAACCATATTTATGGCGGAGGCGAGAAACTTACACCATGCGGCCCCTTGTCGTCCTTTCCCCTCGCGAGATCAAGCAAGTCTGTTTCGAAACCTGCGATCCTCCCATTGTGGCCTACCCTTTGTATTGTGACACCGCTACTTTCGAAGCCACCAGTGGCATAGACTTGGTTATACCAGCTTTGTTCCCACCGACCGAACGTCTCTGCTTTCTTCTTGAACATGCTCAGACTGTCGACTAGAGGTTGGAACATCTCAATGTCGTACTCGCCACCACCGCTTTTCTTCTCGGTCCAGTCCAACAACTGCTGGCCTTCTTCCTGCAGAGCGCGGGCGTAGTCATCAATCTTCATAGGAATGATGGGCTCTTGAGCGAGCTCGAGGATGAGAAGAACCCAGAGTTGGGCGAGCACGGCGTGGTAAGCGAAACCGGGGTCGATGTATTTGCGCATCCAGGAGAGAGTCTCGTAGCAGCTGCGCGCAATGGGGTTTGATTGACCCTCTTTGCTGGTGAAGCCGAAGTCGAGTGAGGAGGTACCAGCAATGGATTGGAAAGCAACGTAGTCGCTTCCAGCAGCTAGGTTACCAATTTTGGAGTCCGAGGTCTCCCACAGCTCCTTCATAGTCTTGTTCTCCCGGGGGTCGGAAAGTCGGTCGAGCACGCGCGTCCAGGCGTGTTGGAAGATCGGAGAGCCTTTGGCCCACAGCTTGTCACCCGTTACACCTACGTCGACATTCAGGTAGGCGATGGCGCTATCTCGAAGGGCTTGTACGTTGGCTTCAACATGCTCGGTAGAGCCGATTCTGTTGTATTCACCAGCGTCCCAGGACGCAAATTCGATTGTGCGGAGCGGTCGCCATCCTTGCGAGCGCAACTCGCCTAGTACACGTACAACTTCGAGCATGACAGCCGTGCCAGAGCCAGGGTCTGCCGCACCGAAACACCAGGAATCGCGGTGGTTGCCGATTATGATCTTGCTAGCCGGATCTTCGCTGCCCTTGAGAGATCCGAAAACATTGGTGATCCGCTGTTGTTCGACCTCATCCTGGTCGTTTTGCAGGAACACCTTTGGCGAAGTCTTTGGATGACCAGAATACCAGTGCTCACCAACATCCGGTACACCACCAATCCATTCATCTGGCAATTGCTCGCCTGAGCCTTTGAGCGACTTGAGCAGCTTCTGCGCATCCTTCCACGAGAGCGGTAGACTTGGGATTTTTGGCAAGGCCGGGTTCTTGTCTCGGGGCATGCGCTCCACCTTCTTGAAGCTCGGCAGTCCAGGCGTGAGCACATCCCCCATAATCATATTTGTCTGTCCGACGGATCCTCGCTGCACGCTGTCTCCAGGCCGCCACTTGCCATCTGGCCAGGGATTCCCCTTCTTGAAGCCGTCATCTGCTGGGTCCGAGTATACCAAGACTCCCACAACCCCAGCATCTTGCGCAGCCTTGATCTTCATGGATAGATCTGGCTGTGTTCCGTAATATCGGCAGAGCGCAATCGCTCCTTGTACGTCCACCCCGCTATCCCATAATCGCTTGAAGTCTTTCTTGTCGCAGTAGTTGACATATATCAAGGGCCCGGTGGCGTTTCCTGTCGCAGATAGGCCATGGTAGGCGGGCGTTTGCGCTTTGGCAGGATTGAAGACGGACGGCTCTTCGAGTTTGGCCTCCCACTTCTTATCCTGTGGCTCGACGATGGCGACCCTCCGTCCGCCCTTCTTCGCATAGTTCATGTATACGTAGTACCTGCTGAAGTTAGCGTGATCCTTTGTGGCGTCTCACAATGTGTAACGTACTCGTCGTGGGTATATGTGTCCATGTGCGCATCCTTGAACTTGCCCTCGATCCACTGCCCCAGCACATAACTCCCCTCAGTGCCCCCTATGTGGTCGTAGCTTGTAATGTATTCCAGATTCTTCTCAATTCGCCAGCTCTCGACGCTCTCCATAGCCGTCGAACGCACCCACTCGGGGTTGAATGGCGTGCCGAATCCTCCGCCCATGGGCACCACCTCGCTGACGACCAGCAGGTATACCAGGACGATGATCAGTATGAGACCGAACAGTCGCGCGATAATCGACCATCCCGGCTTATATTCTTCCGGTATCGTCGGTATGTGGTCCGTCATGGCGCTGAAATTGGGACGCCAGCTGGGCCAGGGTATTCGCGGCAGATTCCAACTCGATAGGGAATGTCTGATGCTGTAGAAGCGTTTCGAGAACCTGCCTCTTGATCGATTCCGCCTCGAGCGCCCCTCCTCAGCAGACTCTGGATCTAGAATGTCCATCTCCTCCATGGTCTGGCGCAGGTCCTCGTCCTGGCTCTCTCGCACCGGACTCCCGAGATCCGAGTCGCCATCGTCGTCGACCGACTGTACGGAGGGGGCCTGGTAGTATCCATTGCGCCTGCGCGGATCGGCTTGTATGCGCACATCCGGGCTCAGGAGGCCTTGCCGCTCGGCATCGTCGCTGGTCTCGTTGGGTCCGAGGCGCGCAGGGGCGTTGCGCGAGGAAGTTGCCTCGTCGTATGTGGGGATGGGTGGAGGAGATGGCTCGCGGACGTAGCCATGTTTCTCGTCGCTCATGGCGAGTTAAAACCACGTGAGGGTGTCGTCGTCCACGTGGTGCGCGGTGTCGTGGTAAGGGATGCTCGCTCGCCCGCGGCGAATAGTCCGCAGGAAGCGAATGCTGCGTACGCGTATGCTTTGAATGGTAATTGGGTAGATGGGCTATCGATTGGGCATGTACATGGTGGACGGGTATAAGGAACGACGACAACTATATCAATACAGGCAAGAAGAAGGCGGACGAGGGGCTGCGTCTTGTCGGATGCAGGTGGCTGATGTGCATCCAGCATCTGGGGATGGCGGAGCGGAACATGGGTGCCGAGACCCTGTCCAAGATCTTGGTAGTTGAAACCATAGCTGTCCATCTTTGCGACTGCATCACCACGGCATGTGTTTGAGCTTGGAAAGAAGTTTGTCAGGTGTCGCACGAGGCTTGCACTTTTCTACATGCCGCGCCCTCCAGTCACCTTGATCGTCTCTCCGTTTACATAGCTGAACAGCGGACTCGCAACCGCCAGCACGGCACTCGCCGCCTCGGTCGCCGTGCCCGGTCTCCTCAGAGGAATGTCCATGTGCTCCTGGCCCTGCCCTGCGCCTGCCTTTTGCGCCTGTGGTATTCCCAGCGCTACCTTCTCGCCGTCGGGCGTGGTGATAAATGCGCCCGCCTCCTTCGCCGCCGTCAACCGTGTCTGGATGTGTCCAAAGGCTACTGTGTTGGAGCGCACGCCGAATTGAGGACCCCATCTGCAGACACGTTAGAGGGAAATACATTCGAGGGAGAGAGGGAAGACGTACTCTTTCGCAATGGTCTTGGTCATGCCGGTCACACCCGCCTTCGCCAGGGCGTAGTTGATTTGTCCAGCATTGCCGTTCACTCCACTTGTGCTGGAGATGTTGATGATATTCCTCGGCTCGCCGTCCTTGACCCTGAAATATGGCGCCGCAGCCCTCACAATCTTGAAAGGCGCTGTCGCGTGCAGGTCGACAATCGTGTGCCATTGCTTGTCCGTCATTTTGTGGATGACGCCATCCCATGTGTAGCCGGCGTTATTCACGATGATGTGGATTTTGCCGCCTCCGAACTCAGCGGCCTTTGCAATAAGCGTCTTGATGTAGGCGTCGTCGAGCACATCGCCTGCGACAGCCAGGGCGCTGCCACCGGACTCGTTGATTTCCGCAGCTACCGATTCTGCCTTCTCTACAACATCATCAGCCCGTGTTTGCATGCAGCGACTGCATTGACTTACTGGCATCTACATCGGCAACCACAACCTTCGCGCCTTCCTTCGCAAACAGTTTCGCAGCCTCGGCGCCGATTCCCTGTCCTGAACCAGTGATAATGGCGGTTTGGCCAGCTAACATACCCTTGGGGTAGTTGAGATGGCCTGCAATCTGATCGATGCGCTTGGAGTAAGACATTGTACTTAAAATACCGCGTTCACTTGGGAGATAAAACAGAGTGTTTAATCTTCTAGCTGAGAAGACACCTCAAGGTTTATGGGCGCTCCTTCCTGAAATGCGGAGTAACTCAACCGCAACGGCCGACATCATCACTGGCCATGCCGAGGTTCATGCCGTTAGCGCGTTTTGCCAGACGCGCTTTCCTAGGCACCTAGGTTCGGCTGACTCGACTTAAGACACCACACCAAACAACATGTCACGAAGAAGGATCGGCTGCTGGAGAGGTCGAATATCATTTGATGGGCCTAAGGCTTCCTGCTGTTCTCCAGCCGCACATATGCTTGCTCGATTTCCTCCGAATAGTCCTGCTCAACAGCCTTCCTCTGGACCAACTGCTTCAAGCTGACCTTGAGCGGCTTCTCTTTCTTCGCAATCATGATCGTTTCCCTGGGAATTCTGATCTCACTCAAATCAGCCTTATTGGTGGCAGCAATAACCCCATCATAAAGCTCATCAAGCAACTGCACCTCGCTCTTTCCGTCCAGCACACCTTCCTTTGCCTGAACGATAACATACGGCGCAGGCCGGGCTTCTCCACCTACCAGCACATTTTCGACGTCTGGATGTTGCAAAATACGCCTTTCAATATCCTGCGCATGAAACTTTGCCAGCCAACTCAGCTTCGTCAAGTCGTCTTTGCGGGCAGAAAACGCCCATCGCGTGCGACCGTCAGAGTCCTTGACGGGCCTGTAGAGCTCCTTCGTTTCGATCCGCTCCAGGAAACGATGTGCTGTGTTCCAGAAGGATGTCTGAAAAGGATTGGTACGCCCATCTCCAACCTGCTCCAATATGAGCTCGTGGAGACCGTCCGAGCCTGCGTCCAAAGGCACCATCCTATGACCATTTTCTGGAACAAAGTCATGGGTATACCAGAGCTTTCTATCGGCTGGTCGTAGGCCAATCTGATCTCCATTTTCCGTGGAGCCAATCATCGGGCTCAATCTCGTATGCTGACAAAGGTCGTCCCCAATCGCTCGATCCAAGGGTGCACCCGTGTACACAATGAAGTCCAGTGACTTCAGCATTTGTCGAGTTTCTGGGTCCGCGTAGAGGCTATTGATAGTGAATGGAGGGCATCTGCAGAGGTAGAGGTACGAAGTCAGTATATGTCTCATATGCACTTCGTACAGTCAGAACTTACCTAATGCCTTCAATTCTGTTCATCGACACGATCTTCTTGAACAGGTTAGGAGTCAGGGAAACTTCGTCCCGGGGCGTCATGACGCAGGGACTGTCTAGGAAGAGCGGGCTCAAAACCATCGCATGTAAGCCGGCTATCCATTGCGGTGGACATGGATTGAGAGACGTCTTCCCGATCCAGCTTTCGTACTCAATGCCGCGGGGCCAATGTCTTCGACTCAGTATCGGCACATTCCCTAATCCGCTCCACATGCCATTTGTGTGAAAGATAGGCTTGGGTTCGCCTAAAGAGAAGTGAGCTTATGAGATAACAGATCATTTCAGACAGCTTACCAGTAGTGCCTGATGTATGGATGATGACGATTTCATCCCATTTGGCCTCTCCAAACGTTTTGTCATACGTGTATCGCTTTTGGCCTCCGTTGTCAAGCATCCATTCAAGCGACGGCAAAGCACATAGCTTCAAGCCTGAATCTGCATCGACCAACGGCCCTACGGCATCGTCTTCTGGATAGAGCCATACTTTGCAACTACTCGCTTTAATCAAGCCCGCAAGCCCCTCTTTGGTCACTCGTCCATCGGGAATCAGCAAATACAGAGGCTGTCAGCCGTGAGGTCACACCGAACGATCTGACACTTACTTTCCGTCCATTCTTTACAACAGCTGGTATCAAGATGGCATACCGTGGATCGTTGGGCCCGAAATAAGCAATCGTCTCGCAATCCACCGCTTTACCAAGCCGCTCGTCAAACCAGAAAGCCATCTTATCGATGGCACTTGCGTATTGCTTCCATGTAATCGTTTTGTAACCGCTGTGCAACCAGTCATCCGGCGCATAACGCATGTACATGTTGTTCGGTATCCATTGCGCTTTCTCCTCGATGGCGTGCACGAAGAGCTTACCCTGGCGGTACTCTAAGTTGTTCTCTGCTGTGATAGTCATCTTGAAATGTGAAAATGAGGGCTTGACAAACAAAGGGACGTAGCAAGGCTGCTGTGATAGCCAATGAAAGTTGACCTCTATTGCTCGCCCAATACTGTCTTTATGTACACTTGTTTTTTAATCGTGTCGGCCAGGTATACATGAATTCTCCCGCTGTACGCACGTAAGGAAGCCGCCAGTCTGGCTCGATTCACTATCTGATACACGTCCAAACACTCGCATACTTCATCGATCGGCCCGTTGCCAACAAAGCTCCATGTCTTTCCCCATTCGGCTAGTGCTTAGCTCATCAGCAACACGCGTCTTAGCATACAACCTTAAGTGCCGGCCTGAAGCTTGTATTCAATGGGATATAGTTGCAAGGGTCATGCCGCTCCACGAGGATATCGAACATGGGCAATGAGGCTAGAAGTCAAGCTCCCTGACGCGCCACTCATGCATTAATGTGTCTGGGTGCAAAGCGTATTCAGCGAAGAGACTGAATCCATCAAAACAACATGAAATCATTTTTAGCTAGTGCAGTGGGTGGTTCTAGTGACGGCAATCCGAAGGGCGACTCGCAGCTTATTAATACATTTCCCTCTTTCACATGCCGCACTATGTGTGGCCACGATCCATGCCGCAATTTATGCGAAGGTTTTTAGACAAAAGCTTGTAATGTCTTAGCGACTGATTAGTTATTTGTCGCGGAGGAAAAAGACTAATCTCTAACCTCTGCGGCTAGATCATATACACACTCCTACATTATTGTTTTCTAATCATATCTGCAGCAAAGCATCACCCAGAGTGTTGCTATCCTATATGCCAGAAATCAACTATGCATATTTAGTTGCAATGTCACACAGCTGGTGCATATGTCAGATGGCAATGTCGAACCCGTCTCTGGCATTGTATACGCTTTATACTACGAGCGCATAGAGAAATCCATTCCAGTCTCATCGAGATATCGTTAATTAAACAGGCCTTAGACCTTGGTTTCGACGTTCACATTACCGATCTTCTTCTCTTCGCGGTACTGCTCTTCCGCAATCACATCAGCGGGGATGCGATCAGGCGTCTGGTTCACCAGTACCAGCATCGGACCTAGCGCAAGTGCCATCAAGCCAAAAGTGACGCAGAAGCCGATGAGAGGGGATGTCTTGATTTGGGTGTTCATTCCGTACGAGATGGCTTGTCCGATGGCCTCGAGACAGCGGAAAGCTGCACCATTACGTACGTTTGCTGTATATCATCAGCGATGGATCAAGAAGACTTGCCGAATGATGAGACATACCTTGAGCGTCTGTTGCGAAAGAAGAGAGTAGCCAGTACATGTAAGATTGCGACAAAGGACCGGTCGTCTGCACAAAGAAGTATGGCAAGAAAGAACGCGCATACCGCGAGTCATCCCAGTCGATCTTGCCTGGGTCATTGCTGTTGAATCTGACTTGCATGACGATGGACCAGATGTAGACACCAAGGTTGAGAAGCACGACGGTAAAGAGACCGATTTGTGCACGACGACGTTGGCTGACACCCTTGAGATCGAGGATGAACCCGAGACCGAAACAACCGACGATACAGAAGAAGGGCGAGACGAGGGAGGAGAGAGCGCGGGCGCGGACGCTGAAGTAGGTTCCAAGATAGGTCGACCACGTCCCACTAATAGCTAATTAGCTGCCGCTCCTTTATGATCGTGTGTTGGCTGACCTGTAGAAGAACGACCATATGGCCCAGAATGCGGAAAGCAAAATAAGCTTCGACGTCATCGTGATCTTGATCTGCTTGAACTCCATAATGGTGCCGATCTTTTCAGAGACAAGGATACGCGTTCCGTCTGAGCGTACGACTCGTTCAAGAGGTGAGATGAGGAAGGCGAATGGCAAGGCCATACATTCGATGATCAAAAAGGCGACATAGGTATCCGGAGTTATGCCGCCGACGATACCTTTCTCGTGGTTCTTTGACAGACTGTGACACAAATTTTAGCTGCTGCGAAGTGGGCTTCAGTCTGTAAAACTCACTTGATAGCACCACCGACAAGCTGCCCTAAGTTTCTAGCAACGATCCAAAGTGCCAGGTACTTTCCACGAGATCCAGCTGGCGCGAGTGACATTATAGTTCCGGATTCTGCAACATACCAAGTGCCCGTCCCCACGCCAGTGAAGAAGCCGCCCAAGATCAAGTACCATTGGTTTCCGAACTTGGAGTTGCAGTAGTAGGAAGAGCCGCGGATTGGAAACGAGCAGGCGCCGATGACCAAAGCCCATTTCGTTCCGAGTTTGTTGACGATGGGTCCTCCGAGAGCACAACAGACAGCAAGCATGGTGTAGTTGACAGCGGTCGCGATGTTCGAAGTCTGGGGAGTAGCGAGACCACCTCCACCAAGGCCTGCAAACTTATCAATTCCAAGTACCGTTTCATGAGCTCAAAGACGACTTACCAGCAATAGCATCAGCCATAGCAGGACCGCAGAAAGCCTGCACACTGAGTAGCAGCATCTGCGTCAAGCTGTGCTGCCATATTCTCTTCCACTTTGGAACTGTTCTAGCATACTCTTCCATATTGATTCTCTCGTCGGCGACATCGTATGTTGGAGGAGCGTTGAGCGGGTCGTTGCCCTTTGTACGGAGCGCATCGTCGTCGCCGCCGGCATGTGTATTGGGAGGAGCAGCGTCGAACTTAGACATCTTGAAGTACTCCTACTGGGAAGACCAAAAACGATACGGAGCAGGTGCGACTGAGCTTCGAGCTGAGGCGAGATCAAAGGCATCGCACGCGACCTTTATATACACCATGTCTCTCCCGCACACATTTACCTTCTACCGTCTGTCCGCGCGACCAGCATCGGCTTATCTGTGGATCCCGGAACTATGTTACCCCAAGCTGGGGTAAACGAGTCGTTCCCGTCCAGCTGATAGGGACTTGTGGAGTCAATCGCTCCGGTGATAGACCGGTTTCCGAGGGGAAGGGCAGTTTAGATGAGAGTGTAGACTAGGCTGGATATGGAAGTGCGAACAGTTTGGAAAAGTGGAGGTTGGAAACTAATGTGATTAAGGGATGGTAAGCTTGCACTAGACATGGTTGCGAGGCTTGGATGTCGGGTCGATGCAAGGCGTGAGTCAGCTGTTCAGGTGCTCCGCGGGTTGAGGGCGACTTTTATAGAAAAGAGCGTTGTTGATGTCGCCCTTTGGCTGCATAGACCCAGTTTCGTTATCGCAATGTCAAGCATGGAAGGTCGTGGCCCTGCTCCATGCTCAAACCGGGCAGGAACGGAGCCCCCCCTGCTTGACGCATCGCTGACGTCCGCCAGCCTAACCCCGTTTGGAAGGGGTAACAGTCGGGATCGCCAAGCGAGAACGGCCGCGATCCTTGGGACGGCAGGCCTCAATTACTCAATCAAAACCTCGCGTGCTCGCATCTGGCGCGTGGAGAATGCGTCGCCATCGTGTCACCGTGCTGGTGGCGTGTGCAGCCTCTAGGGATACTTAACCGGCGGGATTACATCGTGGGTCGTTACTGATAACGACTTCCGGCAGCGCCTCCCCATTCCAACACGCGAGCCATTTCAAGCGCGATAGACTTTGATAGTTCAGCATGGCACCGTCGCGAGAGACTACGTCCGTCATCGTTGCTGGTGGTGGCGGGACGATAGGGTCGTCGACAGCCCTACATCTCGTACGCTCAGGATACAAACCTTCAAACATCACAGTGCTAGACACGTACCCAATACCATCGTCACAATCGGCTGGAAATGACTTGAACAAGATCATGGGCATCCGCTTGCGGAACAAAGTGGACTTACAGTTGAGTCTGGAGGCGAGACAGATGTGGAAAGAAGACGATCTGTTCAAAGAATATTTTCACAACACCGGTCGAGTGAGTATTTCAAGCGCAACCTAGCAAGAAATATATTTAGAGACTAATGGTATTTGCAGCTTGACTGCGCCCACAGTGAAAAGGGTCTCAAGGACCTCAAGCAAGCTTACCAGGCTCTTCTCGACGCGGGTGCTGGCCTAGAGACGACAACAGAATGGCTAGATTCGGAGGACGAGATCTTGAAGAAGATCCCACTCCTAGATCGCGAACAGATCAAAGGTTGGAAAGCTGTCTATAGCGATGACGGCGGCTGGCTTGCTGCAGCAAAGGCCATCGATGCCATTGGTGGGTATCTGCGCGATCAAGGCGTCAAATTCGGCTTCGGTGGAGCAGGATCCTTCAAGCAGCCTCTTTTGGCTGAAGGTGTGTGCGTTGGTGTTGAAACGGTGGATGGCACAAGGTATTACGCTGACAAGGTGGTTCTTGCGGCTGGTGCATGGAGTCCCGTGCTTGTCGATCTGCAAGACCAGTGTGTTTCGAAGGTATGTTATTTCAGCTCAGCTAACTACTTCCAAATTAACGTCTTCAGGCATGGGTATATGCCCACATTCAACTCTCTCCCAGCGAAGCCGCAGAGTACAAGAACGTCCCTGTAGTCTACAACGGTGACGTGGGCTTCTTCTTCGAGCCTGACGAACACGGCGTCATCAAAGTCTGCGACGAATTTCCAGGCTTCACACGCTTCAAGCAACATCAGCCTTTTGGCGCATCGGCACCAAAGCGCATCTCGGTACCTAGATCTGCTGCGAAGCATCCCACAGATACCTATCCGGATGCCTCCGAGGTCAGCATCCGCAAAGCTATTGCGACGTTCCTGCCAAAGTTCACAGACAAAGAGTTGTTCAACAGACATCTGTGTTGGTGTACAGACACAGCAGATGCGGCACTTTTGATGTGCGAACATCCTGATTGGAAGAATTTCGTGCTTGCTACCGGAGATAGCGGGTGAGTTTCTTCCTCGTTACGAATGCTGTTTTGCTGAGTTACTGACCTGATATGTAGCCATACCTTCAAGCTACTTCCAAACATTGGTAAGCATGTGGTCGAGTTACTCGAAGGTACACTGGCAGATGACCTCGCGCATGCATGGAGATGGCGTCCTGGTACTGGTGATGCGCTGAAGTCAAGAAGGGCGGCTCGTGCGAAGGACCTCGCGGACATGCCAGGATGGAACCACGATGGTGAGGCGCCTAGGTCGAAATTGTAATGATGTGCAAACGAAGATGGAAGACAGGGCAGTCTAATTCGGAAGGTGGTATGAATCTAGTGCGCATCCTCCTACGTATCTCCACGTCGTGCCTTATCTCCGGAGGTTTTGACTCAGACAAGGCGGTTGAGTCATCTTCAATACTCGCCTTATCTTTATCAGCTTCTGCCTAATAGTACTGGAGTTGAATAAAGGCCCTCACAATCCAACTGGCAATCCAAGAATCTGCAGTCTTCTATTCAACACCTATCGAGCTCAAGATGGCTGCCGAACTCGACGCCGCCTATATTGCTCGTCTTTCCTTGCACGATCCTCGTAACTTCAGCATCCAGCACGCCCAAACCCTCCACCGTATAAGGCTCCTCCAGCAATGGAATATCTCTTATGGCTCGAGGGTGCTCGAATTAGGGTGCGGGCAGGGAGATTGTACGACTGTCCTTGCTTGCGCCGTTGGCGAGCAAGGGAGCGTAGTGGCCGTCGATCCAGCAGACTTGGGTTATGGTAAGTCCTTCCGAACTATTTTTTTTTTCTTGCTTTCCTGGTAGGCGTATAGACGTAGTGGGTTTATGACCTTTTAGGTTCTCCGTATACCCTCGGCCAAGCACAAGATCACATCTCACAAGGACCGCTCGGAAAACAAATCACGTGGATTCAACAACCCCCCCTGGAATACCTCTCTTCCCTTCCCATATCGTCTTCTATCTCTTCGGCACTCACCAGCAGCGACAAAGCTTTTGACGCGACAGTGCTCGCCCACTGTCTATGGTACTTCCCCACCCCCTCGCTCATCCTCTCCACCTTCCGTGCCATCAGACAGCACAGCAAGCGTCTTCTCCTTTCTGAATGGTCTTTGATAGCGACACATCCATCTGCTCAGCCTCATGTACTAGCAGCACTTACGCAGGCAGCGCTGGAGTGCCGTAAAGGCAACAGCATCTCGAATGTTCGCACTGTCTTGGGCCCAAAACGACTCATCGAGCTGGCTTTAGCGGCCGGGTGGCAGCTGGAGAACGAGACGCGCGTGCAGAGTGACGAGGGACTGATGGATGGACAATGGGAAGTCTCCGCTTGCCTCTCTCCCTCTTTTGAGAGAGAGATAGAGGTGAATGTGAAGGATGAGAGGGAACGGGGAGTTATTTTTGCGTTGCGAGATGTATGTGAGGCAAGCCTAGAAGGCATCCAGGGGGGCAGAATGGGAGTCAGGGCGATGGATGTCTGGGTTGCCAGCTTTGTTTGATCTAGCAAGTTGAGCACACGGTCGGGGGACCAAGTTAAATCCCATTACCATTTACCGCCTACTCTACATGACGATTCTAGTGATACATGTACCTTCACGCACAAGAAATAGATTAGAGGATACCTGGAAAACACATGAAGCTAGTAACGACGGACAGATGGAGTCAAACTTTGTGTGCGCTGCCAAGACGTGCCTTGTAGTTATACGCTGGCTCTAGCAGACTCAGCGGCCTTGCGAGAATCTCGCATGACAGACTCAAGGTTCTTTCGCATGATTCGCAGTGTCTACGATTGGTATGAGCTTGGTCTCTCGCTGAAAATAATGGACCACTTACCCGTTTGCATCGCTGCCGAAACGGACCCCGCGGCATCTCTTTGATCTCTTTGGCCTTCATCTCCAGCCACTCTTCTGGAGTACCCGCAGTGAGGTAGTAGTTGAGTTGTTCGGAGAATACGTCTGCATCGTAATCTTCGGTTGTGCTGAAGAAGTCGTAGCCTAGAACTTTGACATCCATGTTGGCCTCGCGAATCATCAAGAATACTGGTTTGATGGTTTCGAGAGCCTGGAAGAGGGCCAGATTCCATTGCATATCTGACTCCAGATATATCTCAACACTGAGTTCTTGACGATCTCTCAGCATCAGCAGACTCTTCATGTTGTCGTACAATGCCCTGCATGCTATCCATTTTCCTGAATAGATATTACCATAGTCCTCATCGATCGTGATGACGAGACGTCGTATAGCATCCTTGAACGAGAATGCCATGGAACCAAAGCGGTCGCGTTCAAGGTAGGCGCGGACATAGCGATAGTCAAGCTCAACGTTTGAAAGGTCCTTGAAGTACGTGGTTGCAGCTTCAGATGCGAACTCCTCGCCCACCAACGCGGCGTTTGCGAAACGTGGCACAGGGAGATATTGTACTCCTGTGCCAGCTTCGTCGGCGGAATGATATTTGGGGACAAATGAGATAGCGTCGTTTAGGCTTCTGATGTGCTCTTCTGTCCACTGATAGTTGTATATCTGGTCTCGCAGTTCGCGAGGGAGCTTCTGGAGGATGATTGCCGTGAATGATTGGCATAGCTGCAGATCTGCGCAGGCCGCAGCGACCTGATAGATAGGGCGCTCGACGGCCTCTCTTTCTCTCATGAGATGACATAGCTCGGGATCGCGCTCAAAAAAATACTTGATCTTCTCACGTCTAAGTGCTGCTTCCTGCACGGCAAGGCGCTCTTCTCGCAGTTCAAGCCCATCATATCCTGGTACGTCGGTGTGCATGAACCAATCCCAATCGTCGGTTCCGTTTACAGATCGCATGATCTGGTCCTGCCTCGTTTGGACATTTTTCTGGATTTTGTTGTAGCTTGGAACGAGTTTCTTGCCTTGATCGTAGAGACCAAGAACACGAGAACGATCTCCAGCATTCAGACCCCAGAGCCGATGGTCAATGGCTGGGTCTGATAGCCTAGGAAGTTTTAGCAAGACGAGACGGACGTATAGAGCCGAGCAGCATCGTACGCAGGCGGTTGTCTCGCTGCTGTCGAGTCGGACCGATGTGGCACCAAAGTCGCCTTGAACTCCATCTCGTGGCCAGACATGTCGCTCGCAAGAGTGCTACAGAAAGAGGATGAAATTGAAGGATGAAATTGAAGGATGAGCCTCAGGCACGTCGCATAGCGCATGGATCCCGTCAACGATATCCCATGAAGTATGAACATGTCAGGATCCTCGGTGTTGCGACAGCGGTTTCCTGCTGCATTCCGGCTAGTCCCGAAGGAGGCTTACAGCGCCTACGTCATTCACGAGTTGGAGACAGGCACGACTCCACTAAATCCTCATGCAACCAGCCTCGAGCAGGATTCTTGTGAGCCCGCACCGAAAATGCGCCGTTGCATCCATGAATGGTCTGACCTTGTTCATCCGCGCGCAAAGGGCTGGCCTAACCACCGCGCATCGCACTACACCGTTGACAACGTCCCAACCATCATCGGACGCTACCAAGACGGAACCAGCATAGCTACGCTTGCCTATAGTGGACCTCCCGCAGCCATCGCGTGAGCGCGCCTGCCTTTGCGACAACGACTCTGGACCACGACATGGCGCAACAATTCCTCGCTGACCGCAATGGCTGGCTGTCGTTCCGGAGCAGCACGCCCGTGCTGTACATCACAGCCGAAGACGCCGAGTTCGACATCGAGACTATGAAGGCGTGGCGCGACGAGGGCTTCATTGTCGAATACATCCCTATGGGCAAAGGTGGCAAGCAATACGTGCAGACGCTTCACAAGCTGGGGGACAAGATGGGCATTGGGGAACGCTACGCAATCGTGGGTATACAGCCCTTTCACACTCTGGCGCATGTCACGAGTATACGTGCTCTGCGCCAGCACCCTCCGACTCATGTACTGACCATGGCTCTGTAGCATTCGGTGACGCTGCAGCCGTATGTCTAGACGTCTACTCGGAACCCAAAACCGCCACCTCGAAACTCTGCTCCCTCATCGCCTACTATCCGTCCTCCATTCCCGATACACGTCACCGCTTCACATCGTCCTTTCGCGTGCTCGTACATCTAGCCGAGGGCACATCCGGAAACGACATCACCGTTGGTGTGACGCGTCGCCCCGAAGTTCTTGGCATACAAGGCAAGCGACGGACGGTGCAGAAGCGCGTCACGCACGGTATTGGCGCGGGAGGCTTACAGGACAAGATACTGTATCCGTGCTTCACATACGAGGGCGTTGATGCAGGCTTTGCAGAGCACGATCTAGATGAATACGACGCCGTGGCCGACGCTATCGCATGGAGCAGGAGTTTGAGCACTGTTCGAAAGGGCTTCAGCGCCGAGGTAGATCTGGAGCGGCTATGGGAGGAAAACGAAGAGCGTATGCATGGCGACCAATCGTATCTATTGTAAAAGCTAACACTCAACAGAAAAGTACCGCGGAAAATCGCTCGATAAGATCCTCGAAACCTATACCAAAACCCCGACACCATACGTCAACTTTACTCCGACTATGACCGGGGCAAGCGGCCATCCAGATCTCAAGCGCTTCTACCGCGACTACTTTCTCAAAACGGCCCCACCATCAATGCACATGCGGCTCATCTCGCGCACAATAGGCGTCGATCGAATAGTAGACGAACTTTACATCCAGTTCAAACACACATGCCAGATGCCCTGGATTCTTCCTGGCGTTGCACCAACAAACCAGAAAGTCGAGATAGTCGTGGTGAGCATCGTGGGATTCAGAGCTGGAAAGATATGGTGCGAGAGGTTTTACTGGGACCAGGCTTCTGTGCTTTTCCAGGTCGGCCTCATGGATCCTGAAGAGGTGCCTAAGGAGTTCAAGAAGAAGGATGACAATGAAGATGGTGGGCTCGAGATGCTACCAGTTAGTGGAAGTGAGGCAGCGAGGAAGGTTATGGATGTGGAGAGTGAAGAATTTAATGACATGATTGATGACTGGTGAGAATAACGGACATCGCGGTGTAGTTTTGGTAAGTCAATGTTGGCCGTTCTGGCTTGACCAACTCTACATTATATTTGAATAATAAACAGCATGATCAAGAATGGCTCTCCATGAACTCCCATCAACCTCGTCTTCATTGTAAGGCTACAGACAATGAAACGCGCAGCCGATATATACCCTTGCGTACGCTTTCAAGATTCTGAAAAATTGCATCATCCGATACGGCTTTATTCTCCCTTGCACTCTTCAGCCCTGACTACCCGTTAGCACTCAGCGCTTCACACGACCAAGCTGATCTCACCTTCCACAAGATGGCCCTAGTAGAACTCATAGACAGAATCATACAAGCCGTTAAGCCCTGCGTTTCTAAACCGCTGAGGTATATAGGCATTCGATGGTGGCTCGCGGATCCTATGTACACCGTCACGTATCGAGTATGTAGGCCGGTGTGGTACGTCAAAGTCGTCGTCGTACGCCTCATACGCGTCATCTTGTTCATCGTATGTACGCTGGAGGAGTTGTGCATACTCTCGATCCTGATCCTCTTGGCGTCTCCGATGGGCACGAGAAGGTTGTGCTCGGTCTCGCAGCGCTTGCCAAACGCTACGGGATGAATGGCGGTCTCGTCCGTCCGTAAGCCGTTGCATATCAGTACGGCCGATTGGTTCGCGGGTGGCCTGGTGAGTGTCGCCTCTATCGTTTCCCGTTCGACGTGCTGCATCGGCTATCCTACGGGTATCCTGAGCCTGTGGATGATGTTCTGGGTTTCGCTTCAGGCGCTTCCGAGCACGAGGAGTAGCGGACCGGTCATCTGCACCATTCCGTCGAAGTAGACCTAGCTTGACCCCAGCCTGTCCGGGTAGTCGCAGTAGAGAGGCCACAAGACGTTCTGATCGAGACACTAGCCACCTCATACGCTGACTTACTAGCACATCCCAATCGGATTGACGGGCTATAACGCGCATAACCTCAGAGGGTACTTGCACTGGTCGCTGCTGGGGTGGTTGGACCCGTTGCTCTTGGGGTTCTTGACTCCATCGGACCATGCTGTCTTCTCGAATGAAGTCTGTCGGTACTTGGACCCGTCCTTGCTCGGGTTCTTGGCTCCATCGAACGATGTTGTCTTCTCGAAGGAAATCTGTCCGTACTTGGACCGGTCGCTGCTGGGGTTCTTGGCTCCACCGAACCATGTTGTCCTCTCGAATGAACTCTGCCAGTACTTCCATTGGTAGCTGTGGGATCCCTTGGCTTGTTGGAATTACAGGCTCTTCTCGCACAACGCCTGTAGGTACTTCGATTGGTGGAGATTGAACCTCTTCGCTTGTTGGGACAGTAGTCTCTTCTCCATGTAGAGGCGCGCGGCAATTAGGACACAAACCATTGCCACTTTCGATCCAACGTTTTACGCATTTTTCGCCGAAGATATGATGGCATTCGAGAATTATAGGGGGGTGATTGGCGTCGTATCCTTCCATGCATATGGCACATTCGAGAGACTCGAGGGAAGAGAGGAAGGCCTGTGCATCTGTTGGTTGCGTCATGGTGTTGGTTGAGATGGCACGCAAGAGAAATAAGTGCTGGCTAATCCCACCCAACTGTGGAGGCGAAAGAAATGCTTGGAGAGTCGACTCTAAGTACAGCTGAGTAGCTGGGAGCTGCAGTCTCCCTCGTGCACGACCTCTTTGGCGTAGACTTTCACTCAGCCCTGAATCACATCATGAGCCAAACTATTTTCACTGGGACTGGCGCAAGCAGTACAACCCTTGAAGCAGTCACGATAGATTAAAAGATGAGATGAATGTTGACAAACGGGTCTTCTCGAAGATCGCGAAAGGCAAGCAGAGTGATCTATTTGTATACATTTGTGCTGAAAGAAAACTAAGAAACAGCATATCGTGGGGCGTGATGGTGATTTAAGGAATGCATCCGAGGCTATCTGGCTCGTAAGACCAGGGAAAGCTCGTGCAGCGTTAAAATGAAATGACCTAAGAGACCGTGGTAACTCGCCGTAGCATCGTATACGAAGGTGAAATTGACGAGTGAAGAGCCCCTGAGTTCCGGGTCTTGCGGAGCCTCGCAGACATATCGAGACTTCAACCCTGTGATCTCACATCTGCTTCGGGGCTCGGTGGCGATCCGGTAGGCGAGCTAGCGTGTTCCGGTATATCGCTCCGCTCGGTCTCCATCGCCACTGGCAGCTGAACTCTCGACCCTCCTAGCTCTGTATCGTATAAATAGGACGCCCGATTCATCGAGTTACGAGATAGGCGATTGCTTGCACGCGCCCTCCCCATAGCGATATTTCTGATAGCACCGCCAGTCGCTGCCGAGTCTATCGATAGTCGAACCTCCGCCCTGTTCCGAGCATACTGCTGCCATTCGTGCACAATACTGTACATCGAAAGAGGGCGCGAAGACTCAGATCCGCGGCGATCTCGATGTAAGGTATCGATCAGTAATTGGTGTGTGGTAGGAGCGATACTGATTCGTTCAACAACGGTTTCGGCGTCTGATAAATTCGCTTCGCTCATGCTCAGTGGACGATTATGGAAAGTCTGCGTACTTCCCCGAAAGACGTCCCAGTAGTCGTGAGTGCCAAAAGTGTTTCCAACGAAAGCCAAGGCAGAATGACGTCTGGTAAGTGGACGATGAGACAACAGCGAATCTTCCGAAAGGTTTGCCTGCGTTCCACTATTGATCATGACTGGGTCACTGATCGGAACAGTGGACACGGCATACTGTGTTCTGAAGTCTGTTAGTTGCCTGCGGCCCCATTCCCAACGCTCTTGTGGAGATAAAGCATGGATCGCCTCAAGGTCGAGATCTTGGAGCGAAACCAGCGCATTCGTTGCGGCAGCTGACCGGTCGCGGACATTAGGAGACTCCTGAGTTGATTCGCCTTGGAGGTCGACGTGAGTCTCTGTAGACTCAGCCAGGGATTCCGAGTTTTCCACGATGGGCGCTATACCAGCCGGTAAAGATCCCCCGACTTGGCGATGGCGATCTTGGTCGGAGCTACTCTCAGGGAACCTTGTAACTGGGGGACTGGGCTTTGATTTGCGTAGTCGTGCTGTAAGCCTCATACTGAGGCGAGAGAAGGCCTGCCGACCTTTGGACCAAGCGTT